AGTTCTGTATGAACACTGAGTTTTTGAAATGGGGTTTTGTGTACGCCGACCCTGGTTGATACGGCTTCCATGATTTCTCCACGGTAGCCTTTCAAAGTTCTTGTGAGCCCGAAGCAAATAATCGTTGACTTAATTTTTAATTGAGGAAGTAATCCATCTCTCTAAGTGGAGCTGAAATTTAATTCCAAAAGAAAACACAAAGTATTCCTCCATTAAATACTTTTATCAAGTTAAAGAGCCCTACATGTTTTGAGGCTAGAAAACCTCATCATCAAAGTTGCTCCCATATTACAAAAAGTTTCAGTTCGTGAGACTTCGCATTTCGCAGGGGAAAAGAAACAGAAAGTTAATACATTAAAAAAGATTGAACATCAAGAAATTAAAATCACATTTGAATATAGGACTCAGTCAAGGACTCAATACAGTAAAGGATTATTGAATAGATTAATTGAAATAAAAAAAATATATTTATATACTTAGTTATGCAATTAATCTGTTCAGTATTCCTTCACTGTACAGGGTGTCCCAAATTCGAGGGTGACCATTGAGATATTGGAAACTATAAGAGATACGAGGTCGGTTAAATTATGGCAAAGTTGCGCAATTTTATGACCAATAAAATGCCGTTTTAAAATTTGAAAAATTCCGAATACTTCCGAAGCTATTCGGGAAAAAACGAAATTTTGCAAAATCATTTTTATTTTTTCCTGAGTCTATTTGAAGAGCAATTTCAAAATAAATGTCACTTCATCATTGTCACTTTTTTCCCTTTAAAAGATGTTGCTCAGATGTTTCAGATTCGACGTTTCGTCTTTGGGCGGCCATCATCAATTTCGTTTTTCTAAATACGGGCCTGGATTTTTTATTTCAGATTTTAAGAGTTTCTGATGTCCCAAAACCTATGACGTATTGCCTTTATACGAAAAAATATTTTTATTACTTTTTAGCAATTTCCTACCAAAATTATCTTCTTTATCTCTCTCTAACACATTTAGTTTTTATGGAATGTGCCAATAATATAAATTTTTCGAATAAGTGCAATACCTCATTGGTTTTGGAATCTTTTAAAATCTAAAATAGAAAATAAGGGTCCGTATTTCAAAAACTGAAGTTGATGATGGTGGCCCAAGGAAAAAACGTCGAATCTGAAATTTGGTAGCAACATCTTGTAAAGGGGAAAAAGTGACAATGATGAAGTGATATTTATTTTAAAATTGCTCTTCAAATAAACTCAGGAAAAAATAAAAATGATTCTGCAAAATTTCGGTTTTTTCTGAATATCTTCGGAAGTATTCGGAATTTTTCAAATTTCAAAACGGCATTTTATTGGTCATAAAATTGCGCAACTTTGCCATAATTTAACCGACCTCGTATCTCTTATAGTTTCTGATATCTCAATGGTCACCCTTTTTGGGACACCCTGTACTGTGTTTTATGTTTGGATGTGATTTTAATGTTTTGATGTTTTTTCTTATTTTTTTTGTCTTAACTTTCTGTTTCTTTTACTCTGCCAAATGCGAAGTCTAGCGACCTACAACACTTTGTAATATGTGAGCATACTTGCCCCTGATGATGAGGTTTTCTAGCCTCGAAACATCTAGGGCTCTTTAACTTGATTAAAGTGTTTTTGGAGGAACACTTTGTGTTTTCTTTTGGAATGAATTCTAAATTTTTGCAATTTATTGGATAAATATTAGAGCAGTAGGCAGTAGGTACCTATCGAGAATTTGTGTACAATTTATTTATATGTAAGTACCAACACATGCCCTCTTAGGCATGGGCTCCATACTTTCGTCAGAGCAACCTTCCAGTTCTTGCACACCTGAAACAAATACAGTTATACATAGTTATTTTCAAGTGATTCAGCATCATTCTCTGCTTCTTCAATTTCTGCAAGAGACATGTTATTACAGCTGTTATAGCAGCCCCCATCAGTATCAAAAACTAAAATGATAACAAAAAATAGATAAAACAAAACAGATAAATAAATAATAAAAAAAAGTAGGCTAGATGGCACACATAAATCACAGCAATTGGGCTCAAACATAATGGTGTGTATCATCCTCTAGTCATTTTTTTGATTCAGGCAACAGTTGTGTTGAAAATATGTATGTTACACTTTTCTAAGATATCGCTACACTCTATCAGGATATGGCTCAGCAGTAGCACTTGACCGGTTCATCACAAAAATGTTGTAGTTTCTTAGTCTAAGGATAATTTCAAGAACATGAAATTTGATTAGATTAATAAATTTACAGTCTGTTATTTAGTATTATTGACTATATGGAAAATAAAAAGTAAGGATTGAACTGCCCTTCTCATACTAAGATACTGAAGTTTAAAGGTCTCCAACATACTGCCATATGACACTAGCCGAGGAACTATAGGATATACATGATATTGTTTGAAATACAAATATCTCAAAAATTTCTTTTGGACCCTTTGTATCAAGTCTCTATTGCAGTCAGCTGTAGGTCACTAGATACTACATGCATACCACATACCTCAAGTGGGGTCTGACGAAGGCAATAATATAGAGCTTTCTCAAGGTATTAATTTTATGAAAATGTTTGGTATTTCTAGTGATGAAGCCCAAGGCCCTAAATAACCTGTTAACAATTTTATTGATAATGCAAATTAAATTTCATGTTGGATTGGAAAGTGGCTCCCAAGTCCTCCCTCACAGTAGTGGTCCCTTCTTGCGTGCATTTCAGCATCCAGACTATAACTGTATTCTAGATATTGACGACGCTTTGTATACGTCATACAGAAACATTTACTGACATGTATGTAAGTATTCAATAAGTTGTCAAGTAGGAATTTGGAATTAAGTAACTTTTATTTGTTTCAGGCCTGCAGGAACTGGAAGGTTGCCCTAGGAAAAGTATGGAGCTACTGCCTAAGAGGACTGAAATAAAAAAATATAAATTAATGTTTTTTTTTGGATGTTTTCCAAAAATTCCTCGATGTTTCGATACTCTTTTGCAAGGTAAGCATACGATGTCCAAAAAATGTTGGCAGAGGTAAATTGTAGATAATCTAATTGTTTCCTCTTCATTTTACTACAGAGGCACTTTTTGCGTAACTAGCTTGCTCTGCCAGTTATAAGCTGAAAACGACGACAAATCATTATTTCCAGTGATTTTTGATGATTTCTCATATTATGTTGGGGACAACTACAGATTCGTGTTCAGTGTTCAGCACAAACAATTACACCAAAACTTTCCTTTATGAATGCTTCATGTATACCATTTTACTGAATTAGTGTTCATACTTTACCTCAAACGAATATAATTATTTAATAGGAAACACGTAAAGACGTCATCTTGCCTCATACTTATGGTATACTGAGTAGTCTCATAGTCTCAAAACAACTCTGATTGTCTGGTAGAACTTTGGTCATAGGATACTCTCGTATGCTGCTTTAAAATCGATGAAAAGGTGAAACGTGAAACCACTTCTCGAGCATCTGACGTAATATGAAAATCTGGTCTATTGTCGATCAATCAGGACCAGTCTAGCTGTGGATCCGCATTGGTACTGTCCGATTCTGAGTTCCGCGTACGTCCTTATGCGAGCCGTCAGGATGTATGACAGGTAACAGTATTCAGTGGAAGCAGGATCAGTAGTGTGACCGCTTGATAGTTGCTGCATTCCATTTGGTCACCCTTCTTGTGCTGAGGGCATATGAGTCCGACGTTCCACTCTTCTGTTCAGCTTTTTTATGGCATTTCGCATTTTATATATCTAGCTTTTCCACTTCTTGGTCGTCATAGGCCAGAAATTCGAAGAAGTGTTCCACTGGTCTATTGAGGATCTCCTCATTGTTGGCAAGAATGTATCCGTGCTAGCTCTTACATGTTGACTTTCGGTTTAAAGTTTTTTCTTGTGTTGTTGACTTTCTGGTGGAATTTTCTTGTTTCTGACTGATTCTTAAGTCGTTCTATTTTGTCAAAAATTTTCTCTTTTCTTTCTTTTAGTTATATGGTGTTCTCTGGGGGCTAATAATGTCACAAGCTAAATTGTTATTGTGTATTAGAAACTAATATTCTGGAGATTCTTGAATCGAAGGTAATCTAAAATTAGAATATTGCAAAAGGGCAACATTTGCAAAAAAACGAGTTATTGGTAACATTGTATAGAACATAACGAGTACTACAAAATTACCTGAAAATACAATAGGTACCTATACAGTCAAACATTTTGAGAAGCATTGGCACTTACAGGTGAAAAAGACTGAAAACTCGGTATTATTTTGGGTAAAAATTGGGAAAAATATTGTGTAGTTTCTAAAATGTGTATAGATCGTAAGGAAGCATCAACCATATTCTTGAGTTGATTTATAATTAACTTATAGCAATTAATGTAAAGAAAATCAATTAAAGCTGCTTGCGCTAGTCTGCTATCGGTGTATGCTTTCTCACTGGTTTAAGAAAACATTGATCGAAAAACAAGATCGAGAAACATTTTTAATTGGGAAATCCAAAAAAATCTTATTTCACCAGTAGTGTGAGAGTGGAGAAAATGAATTATTAATGTAAATAACAAAACGTTTACCAGACCATTGACACATTAACCATTGTCACTTCACTATGAACCTTTTTGCTTAAAATTATGAGATTTTTGTCTCAGATTGGTCCACACAATTTGACACCCTATATAGTATAATAAAGGACCTTTAAAAAAGAGATTTCAAATAAATTTATATCAATAATATGTTTACCTCATAGGAAAAGCCACATTGCCGGACTCCCTATTTCTAGGGTCGTCCAAGATTCTCCAACTTTTCCTCGTAGGTGTACTCAATACACTATTTCTCAGATTTCTGCAACGTTGTCATATCCTTGTGATTCTATGACAATAAATGAATGATTGGAATTATTTTCCTATGGAAGAACCAGCAATTTTAAAAATTATTTTTGTACCATAAGGTTTCCTTGCCCCTTAGAAAATGTCTAGTGTTCCAAGAAACATTACTTGTCAGTTACTCTTGATTTGAAGTTTTCTCAAGGGCAAGCTGCCTACTATTCATATATCTCCACTATCCCTATACTTAGTCCTTGAAATTAATGTAATATTATCAATTCACAATCCGATGTCCAAACGTAAAGGTAAAATTTATCACTTTTCAGTGCTATTTGATAGGGAAAGGTGATACATTTACCTTTACCTTTAGACTACGGATTGTGAATAGGATATACATATTTTTGTTCTTCACATATTTTGCATAATATTGGAGAAACTGAGAAACACCACCACAAAAGTGCGTTTTGCTATGAAATAAGACACTTTTTTTCAACTTGTATATTGTATAATGTATGTATAATATTACCAAAAATAATAAAACAATAACCATTACATAAATTACAATAATTACTAAGCACATAGGCCACTATAAATTTACATCAATAGGTATAATAGTTGTAAAAAAAAATTGTAAAATAAAATTATTACATGCCCAAGCAATACTTAATATTGCCTTGGAAAAATATTAAAGTTCAAATAAATACTTACGTTAATTATTTATTCGTACCCTAAAACTTGCTTGTGATAAAACAGAATGTAACCCTCGGAAGCTAGAACATCCTTCAAAGTAACTTGTGTGATAACTTCATCGTTACACTTATACCAGTAATTATAATGTTGCCTAACAAATGCAATATAATGCCCTTCATTAGCAGAATCTCCAGAATGGTTTATAACTGCGAACAAAGAATATCTATTATCAGTAGAGAATGGCGATTTCTTTTTCTTTTTGGTCATAAATGGTGTCATATCTAGGATATCAGGAAAATTTATAGCTGTAGAAATTTTAATACCAGCATCAGAGTGTGAGAATCTTTTCAAATGAAACGTGGCAACTATAGGTAGAGTTCTTATAGTTAACTGTTTAGTGCTTTCTTGCTTAGAACCGCAATTTTCACACATGATTTTCTCTAATTGCTCAGATTTTGTAAAATTTTCCAAACAATCAATCAGTGAACACGTAGATCTACCACCTTCAGTAACCGAACCTAAATCCAATGCAAAATCCAAAGTAGGATCTGTAGTAGTCCTCACGCCTTTACAATTTTGACAAACTATGTCACTCTGAAGCCCCCCAGTGAATATTTGATGGATAATGCATGAACATCTACTACTACTTTCAACACCCGAACGATTTTTCCCTGACTCTGTATAATGTTTATGTAACAACTCTAGAGCGGCCATAAAAAACTCGTGAGCATCATGCTGCTTGTCTCCACATAAATCAGTTTTTTGTGTCCAAATTAAATGAAGTAATTCGTTCAAAGCTAAAGGAGTCTTATCCCCATTATAGAATTCTTGGAATAGTTTCGACACTTCACAGACAAGACAAGCATTTATAGTGGCCTTACAAAAATGGCGCTCGGTTAAAAAATAGTCACGCAAAAGGGGTGTATGCATTAGGGCTTGAACTATACAATTCATAAAACATGTGGCTCCTAAATTAATCAGACCTCTAAGGCCTATAGTAGTTTCAGGACTAATACAAATCTTTTTAGTTCTGTTTGATAATAATACCCGTTCTTCTTCTAAATGGTCCCAAGAAACACACTCGAAAAGCCTCTTTAGATACTTTTTCGATTTCATTCTATTCTCTAAAGCAATTTCATCTAAATCATGATCGTAAATGTAATCAGCACAACTCTTACAATAAAGCTGACCAAAATACAGTTCCAAGGCAAAATTATGATCTAGACTATGGGCGTGTTGACGAATGTGTTGATGACATCCGAAATAAACACAATCTATGCAAGTGTGTAAATAGGGGCCTCGTCTGCTGCACAATTGGCAATGAGAATTGAATAGTTTTAGAGGACGAAATTTCGAGCCTACCACAAAGACCGCATGGATCCATTTGAGGGTTTCCATATTCGAAGGGTTGGCTTTGAATTGCTGCAAATGCTTGCATCCAGTCAATGGCATGATTTTCACCTAGAAAAAAGCATCAATTAGTTTGTTTTATGTAATTTGTATGTGTCTTTGTTGGCCGCTCATTACCAGAAATATATATTTATTTTAATTAATTTTTTTTTTACTTGCTAGTGCAGTAAGTAAAGTAGTAATGAAAATGTAAACAAAAACAAACGGGAAATTTAAAAGTCCTGTTGACATATGATTTGTTGGCGTAGGCAAGACTTGACAACGCTGCTTTTTAAGGTACATTTCGACGTGGCGTCATCTGTTTGTAGTTGAAAATCTATGCTTTTTTCAAAATTATGAAGCATTTGGATGCCAAAATAGTATATCTCCTAACTAGTGCGGCAAAGATACTTTCCGCACCTGTTAGGAACACTATTTTGTCTACGAGATAAAAGTTAATATTTGTACCTGTATACCTACCAATTTTAGGTATTTTTACTTTTCTTCATTAGTGCGGAAAACTGGGGTTCCACGCACGCTCATAGAAAAAAGCTTTGGAAAATAACACAAAATCTAAATCAGTTAAATAGCAGCTTATTGTAATTTGAAGTTCTGATAATAAAATTATTATTATTAAAAATTATTATAAACCAACTCAATGCATCTCACTGCTGAAACTTAGAATATACCTAACTGCTGTTTTCGATCAAGCAAACCTGTATACAAAAATAAGGGATATAAGGAGTGAGGAGGAATGCATAAATTATCGTCCAATATCTTCGCTACCTGCTATCCAAAATAGTACTTTTTTTGTGCGTTCTACTCCTACTTCTAAGCAAGCTAATGTGAAATGTCCGTCTTTACATTATTTGAAAGTTTTGGATAAAATGATACATAGGTACATCTATTTTGTTGTAAGAGAAATAATATTATTTTGTCAATAATGCTTTGAATGATCTTATTTCCATCTTTGTTTAGTTTCTTGAATTAGGTTTGCTACAAATTTCTTGACTGTTTCAGATTTTTCCATTACAGCTTTCAGAACATCATCATGATTTGGCTCATCTGGTTCATCATAGCAATGAATACAACGATTCGTTATGAAACTAAAGCCAAACACTGACATGCCGCAATGCTTGGCCACAAGAACCTCTGGTATAGTTGACATTCCTAAAAAAAAAAAAAATTTAAATTGCTTTTTAGTTTTAGCAAAAATGAATTAATGTTATTGAAATTCTACCTGCAGCATCAACTCCTAACATTTTCAATATCCTAACTTCTGCTACTGTTTCATAATTCGGTCCAGCGTAAAGTCCATAGACACCTTCATGATAATCATCTGAAATCCCCATTTTTTCAGCTACCTCCTTGGCAATTCTAATGAGCTCTCTATCATACGCTCTATTCATGGGAAAGAATCTTTCTCCGAAAAAATGTTCATTGGGTCCTCTCAGGGGATGTTGTCCGCCAAAAGCCAGAAAGTTTACGTGATCTTTTATAATCATTATGTCGCCCACTTTGTAGTCTTCGTTTACGCTTCCTGCAGCATTTGTGACTATGAGACCTTCTACACCGAGTAGTTTTAGGATTCTGATTGGGGTGGCGATTTTTTGCAGGGAATAGCCTTCGAAATAATGGAAACGGCCTTTCATGCATACTATTTTTGCCTCCGACAGGGTTCCAAAAATTAGTTTTCCTGCATGACCTTTAACATTGCTCACAGGAAAGTTGGGTATATCCTTATAATTGAATTCTATTTGGTTTTGTAGGTTTTCTGAGAGGCCCCCTAAAAGAAAAAAGAAAACTGAATAATTTGTTCTTTTTCGAACTCATGATGCAACTGCCAATTTTTTAATTTTATTTTGAATCCATCCAAGCTACAAAAAACCATCTTCAGTGGTGGTTTCAAGATTTATTTTGACTTTATTTATACATACGTTAAAGTATACTGTCTCACTATTGTTGTACATAATGGATTACTGAAGTTGCTATTGAAGTTGGAAGAATGCGGTTTCGTGAACGATGGCTATTTTTCTGTTAAACAGAAGATTCTGTGAACAGAACTGTCTTCGCCCTTGTTGTTTTCCGGATACGAAGTTTTTTTGAAATTGTTGCACTTTGGGACACCCCTTGCTCTCTCATAAGTTAACGAAAAGGTGACAACAGTTTTTTATAGATAGATATTTCTACGCAGATTCTCGTAGCGCAGTCAGTTTTTCTCTGGAAATGATTTTTGAATAATTTCAAAAGTTTGATAAATTTATCTTTCGTGTGAAAACGACTTTATATCTATGTAATGACTTATACAGGGTGTCGCATTGGAAAAAATGTATGTTTGTTTGAGACCTAATTATTATAAAATTAAAACTATCACTTCTAGAGAAAAACTGACTACCTGCGCCACTGGAATCTACGTTGAAAGATCTCAAGATGAAAACCTGTTATCTCCTTATCGAACACTTATTAAAGAACCGATATGCAATGAGTGTCCCAGCCAAAATGCAACATTTTCAAAAAACCTCGTATCTGAAAAACACTTATTTTCAGTTTTTGAGTAGTTTTTCAATGACAGTTTTTCAACGCGCTTCCCCCCTTGTATCCGCCACTGACCATCTATCATCATACATACGTATAACTAAAGTCATATAATCTTTCATGAAAGTTCGAAATAAATCCGAAATACCTAGAAGATTTCAAAATACGACTTCATCAACATTATGATTTTTTGATTTTTACACTATAATTTGAGATAATGTGCCCTTACCTAAACCAGTTCCACAAATAATCAAAAGTTTTGGAGTGAACGGTACTTGATTTCTAAGATAGTCTGCTGCTTTTTGCAAATAATCCAAACTAAATCTATGAAAAAATATTTTTTTTGTTGTAATTATTAATTGTGGCAAATACAAGTATATCAACTTACTCTTCATTTTTTGAATCACTCATTTTAGCAAACTTTCTGCAAATATGGAAATTTTTGTCAATGATATAACATATAACTACTATTTCTCCAGTCGTAAATTCAAATAAACCAGTTTGCATAGGTAATAGCTGAGGAATTTTTAATGCAGATTGGAGATTAAAATCTTAAGATTTGGTGCTATATGATTATGTTGATTCAAGGATCAGAAATTAATGATAATGTTTATTTAACCAAATGATTTTTAAGTGGAAAACTAATTTAAATTCTACTTAAAAAGATAATTTGAATATCTTTTCTGGTATTAAAATTACGGAGGGTACCTACTTATCTAAAATAATTAAACATAAATGATTGTTTAAATTTAAATACTGATTACAGGTTTCTACGAAAGAGCCAAGTGCAGCAGAGTGAACGTCTTGATCATTCGATTCTGTTCATCTCCAACCACTTACTTCGCACAGGATATTCATGGGATAGCCACATCACACATATTCAGTAATATGGATCCGGATTCCAAACCCAGGATTCGATAGTATAGTATCGTGAATAGTTGTATCCTTTTCAAGAGTTTAGAACACTTGAGGTACTCGCTGCGGTGTTAGTCGAGCCCTATTGGAAAGGAACAGATGCGCTGGCTTTCTTGCGTTAAATGGTTTGAGTTCGGGCTTTAGCACTTCAGGTGCAACAAACACTTTTTGGAAGGGCCTGGATCTGTTCCGGAGCTCCTCCTAAGTGTGAAAGGAATACAGTGTCTAGCCAAATAAACTCGTGCAAAAGTAGATATAGTCATGTGATACAGTCACGCGCATTAAAAATGGGACACCCGATTTTTCCTATTGTAAAACGAGTTCACTAGAACATACCTACGACAATGACAGGAATTGTCATATTTGACAAAAAATTGGCCAATCATAAAACTGGTACATGCATTTTCCTCTTGTGTTGTATTGTGTAAATCGACTTTTTTTTATCACATCAAAAAAGACAAAAAGATCAAGTCAGTGACAGTGTCATTTTTAAATCAAACATAACATAAAAACATCTTGCGTTCACTTTGAGCCATATTTTTGCGAGCCCTTCTTAAGACATGTCTGTAGACATTTCAACTATTCTGAAGTTTGACGTCATCAATTATCCTAAACGCGAAAATAGTCTGTTTTAAGCAATCTGACTCATCTGTTACATTTGTTTACGTTTATTTATCATCGCAGTTCTATTCATCACAGTTCACCATCATCATAGTCAAAATATTTCGGGAAATATTTATTTGAAATTATAAATGCATAAAGGACATTAAACACGATCACAAAAACGTACACTATTGGCAAATTACCGCCATTTTTCCATTTTCAATATACTGTCAATCCCCATTCTCTCGCTCAAGATTTTTGTGGCTTGCTTTGGAGGGCGCTCAAAAATCTTCAAGCTGCTTGAAGACTGACGTCATGTCTTGTTGGCGAAAATGACAGTTTTACTAGTTGCTTAGTGCGTCTTATCCGCAAAAATATGGCTTTGGTTCAGCTTTGAATTGACAAAAACTTTCTAGCCTATGTTTTATCAGAAGAGACTTTTTGCAAAACTTTTTGTTAAACCAGATTCACATTAGGCAAGTTTAAAATACATAGCTATTTATGTACCAAGGGGATTATGTAGATTATAATGCCCGAAGGCGGAACTAGCCCGAGGGCTCTGGCCCGAGGGATATGTTTCGCCTGAAGGGCATATATAATCTAAAAACCCCCGTGGTGCATACAATGCTTTATTTTCTACTTCACTATGGTGGTCGTGTGGGTTAACACACTTGACTACATGGGAAACGTTGATGGTAGACCGGGTTCGAATCCTGGCCAGACCGAAAATTATTTTCGGTCGGACATTTAGTGGCTGCCTAGGGTAAAGTGCAAAGTAGTAAAACAACAACAACAAAAAAACCTCAGGGTTTTATAATATTACCTTGAATTTTTTGGGACTTACACCTCAATTGAAATTAATACCAGAAGTTTCTTGATCAGGGTTTTATAAGCGGGCGTTATGGATCAGAATGCCCTCAGATTGTTATAGGTATGTTAATGTATCTCGTTTCCTAGGGATTATGGATCTATAATAGTTGAGTAGGAAATAAAATACATATTGCCTGTACCAGTTTTATAAAGGGCCAAGTGTACAGTCGTGAGAGTGAGCATTAAAACTGGGACACCCGACTGACAGATCTTAATTTTTCGCTATTTTGGGTAAATCAGTCTTTTCTGTACAATGGATTTTTTGTCAAATGACCATCAGACAATAGAAAGTTCTCGTGCCTCAGACGCTACGCTTATATAGTATTTGTAATACCCATTTAGAATAATTTCATCCTTATTTATCAATCACAAATCAGATTAAACAAAAAATTACCAACAAAAATGGATGTCGATTGCTAATACGTCAATTTCATGAATGTACAAATAGGAAATTCCTAACCTAATTTTATTTGTGTGTTCAAGAAGCGACATACGTTTAGTCATTAGAACGACTGGTACTTCTGAATAGGTATTAAAAATTCTATACGGTACCGCTAACAATACGGTATTTTGAATGGTATTTTATAGTTCTCGGGCACGATGACACAAAAATCCTCTAATCCCTTATTCTGTCGACATTTTGACAGCTGGAGTTGAGTGATCTAACCCAACTTTTTTTCGCTTGTTTTTTTACTTTTAGGGTAAGCGCAAACTAGCGATTTGTTGTCGTGCGATAATTCTGTCGCAGTCGCGTCGCCGTGAAATAGCACTGTTTCTATTTTTTATCCGCAGCGATTATTTTGTAGCAGAATCCGTGTGTCGTATTTTCAATACCTATTTAGAAGTACCAGTCGTTTTAGTGACAAAATGTATGTCGCAATTGACGTATTAGCAATCGACGTTCGTTTTTGTTGGTAATTTTTTGTTTCATCTGATTCGTGATTGATAAATAAGGATGGGGTTATTCTAAATGGGTATTACAAATACTATATCGTCGTTGAAGTATTAATGTTCCATTTTAGCGACTAAACAGTTGCGCGACAATAAATAGCTAGTGCGAGCTTGCCCTTAGAGTTATCCTGTAGATTCCTGAGTATCATTAATTTTCCCATGGTGTTTTTTATGGAAGAATTATCAGAAACTGCTGTTCTTGCAGACGTGAATGGGACGTAAACTGATTTTCACATAGCGTAGCGTTACGGTTAGGCATCCGCTAAAGCCCATTTTACAATGGACGTAACATAACCGTAAAGACGTAACATAAGTACTAAGCATGCGCACATCAGATTTATTTGCGTAAAAAATCTCACCGGAAACGCAGCGTAAGAGATGACCAACTCTCATCTTCTCTTACGTTGTGTCTCCGGTGACATATTTGACGCAAAAAAATCTAATGTGCGCATGCTTAGGACTTAAAGTCTGTTTTTTTTTCAAAGATAATTCCCCAAGTCAAAAATTTCGTAACTATGTTGGTAACACAAGCCTTTTCTACATAAAAGATTTGAAAGCATTGACAGTTTTACATTGTATTGCCAACCTAATGTCAGTTTGACTTTTATCTTTAAAAAAAAAACACACTTTATGTTATGTCTTAACGGTTACGTTACGTCCATTGTAAAATGGGCTTAAGTCCCGTTACGTAGCGGGCTCCGCTAACGGTATCCGAAATTTGGACTGCACGAGAACTCTCTAATGCCTTTCATTGCCGACGGTGTAGCTGGTGAGCCCGTTTTACAATAGTAAAAGGTGTCCCATTTTTAATGCTGTAACTGACGATAGACGATATGCCGAATCGTGGGTTTGATCCTTAAAACGATTCAAGTTAAAATTCTTATCGGATTGTCAAAATAGCGATTCTTTTTTCGATTTTTCGATACGTATTACATGGTACGTCTAGGCTGCCCTTAGAGCAAGCAAAGCACTGTCCCACGGACATAAGGAGTAGGGGAGTAGGAACGCGCCATTCTGAAAAAGCGGCTTCATTTTCCAACTCATTACTTACCAATGACGTTACTATCAACAATACTACCAATGACATATTCTATGGACATATTAACACAGATAGACATTACAGTAATCAAAATTTTGTGCTGCCAACATCTAGGAAAGCAATCTACCACCGGTGTATCTCCTCCAATTTGGTTTCCAAATTGTTAGGGATTGACATTTCATCCTGTTATGACTTTGCCTCAAAAAGTTGGAGCTTCAATACTAAAAATAACTACTGGCAACGCCGGTTTGTTGCAGGCAGAACACACGCTGCAATCGAACGGCATGTCAACGCGTCCATCGAACTATTCGAACTTATATCCTATGAGTTCAAGGCAGCTAGATAGATAAATGAGTTGCACCCGTGACATTTCTTCATTATTTTAGTCAGAGGAAGAGGCGGGTGTTGTTTATATGTACCACTGATTCATCCCTACCATGACGGTATCTATCTGTCTGTGCTAAGATGTCATTGGTTACTACTCCTTTACCTTTACCTGCTCTATAATGGTCGGTTGCACCGACCATTTAAAGCTTAGTACTCATAACTGCGAAATTCGCATTTTTTTGACATTGCTTCGACAATTTGACGTTTGATACACGCATAAAACGTCAAATTGTCAACGCAAAGTCAAAAAAATGCGAATTTCGCAGTTATGAGTACTAGGCTTTAAGGGAGGTTTAAAGATAATCAACGTTTAAAGTGACATTTTCACATGTAGAAAAGTCACTTTAAACGTTGATTATCGTTAATGCTCCCTTAACATGGTCCGTGCAAACGGCCATAAAGGGCTGCCTTGGGGCTGCTGTATTCGATATCAAGTGTCATAACAGGCCATTCGATTCGACTCGTGAAATAGAATCCGGCTACAGTTAGTTCTGGAGCCACGCATTTTAGAACATCACACACCACACACTCCAAGATAATTCAATATTGTTTTAGAATGGAAAGTTCGATTCAACATCAGGTTAGACAGGTAAGACACTGGAGAAATAAAATTAATAAAACGTTTCTTGACACTTGTTGCAAGAAACAAATAAGTTGTTTTCAATTTCTTATGATGGATGTCCATTCATTATATATTCATATTTAAAAGTAGCAAACAGGTAGGGCACAAAATTGCAGCGTTTCCCATATGAATATATAGGATCTTATAGTACCAATCAAAAATAAGACTGCAATATTCGCCACTGTGGTAATGAATGGAGTCACTGTAATGAGGA